GGCGAAAAGACAATGTCATCAATGATACTGTAGCTGAGATGGAACTTGCTCTTGATAACAATGTCTCACCAACCACCTGATCATAAGAGACACTCTGGGTACAACGCAATCTTTCAGACAACCAACTCGCTGTGCAGCTGTAATGGAGCTTGCCAAGGCGAACAGGGAATTCCGCAACACTTGCAATGTCTTGGTAGTATTGAAACCTGTGCTTGGCAGTTTGCTTTCAGCTTTGGAGTGTTGATGTAGAAACTCCGCGATTACTAATAAAAACTGCAAGGGAGCGGTCTGTGGGTCTCCAGCTGCCAAAGCTCTGGCGAGGAGTGGGGCTGGGATTTTCACCATGGACACCACAGGTAGTTTCTGGGAAGTTTTGTTTGTTGGGAAGGTGGGGACCAGATTTGGCTGCTGTGGATCTGCCTTGGCACTGGCTCGTAGCTTGGTAAGATTGGCCACTGCAGACACATGTACCATCTTTGCCATAGTGTTGAAATATTTAATGGACCAAGTTGCTGGAAGCTGGCTGTTTGTAGGGATGTCGCCGGCAAAACCAACTGTTTGTTGGCACCATGCAGAGCCCACTTGTGTGCAAACTTTGATTCCATATAAAATAATCAGTTCATGGTTAGTGGTGCGCGCTAGGAAGAACCCAGGATCGGGTGGGGAGATGTCATACCCTTGTGCCAACTGGTGACGTACATCACCATCAGCATGTCCAATGGTGTATGTGGTTCGAAGCATGTCCATAATCATATTCTGATCAATACTTGCCATGTTATCTTCATCCTGAGAGACATAAGCCTCACTATTGCACCAGGTTGCAATGGATCCAGTTTGGCGAGTGGGTGCTGCGTGAGGCGGGTTGTTTGTTCCTTGCACTTGCTGGTGCTGGAGCGCTGGTTGAACTTGCTGTTGCTGGTCGTGATGATGGTGTTGTTGCAGCTGGTCTTGTGCGCTAGCGTAGTTGTCTTCTTCATGAGTAGAATCTTCCTCTGCAGCTACATCCACAGCGTTGTTGTGGCTTTTTGCCGCCGGCTTTTTGTCTTCAGAATCTGACATTATGATCGTCGCAAAAATTTTGCGATAGCTTTCGCGACGGCCTGGCCGGTTATAAACGCAAACGCCGCGAATGCAAGTCACAAACTTGGGACCACCACCGCAACTGAAAAACGAGGTTTCAGTTGGTCTTGGAGGGTACTTGGGGAGATCTCCAAATGTTCACTGCTGTCTTGAGGTTGCTTGAGGGCGAGTTTCGTTGGATTGGTATGGGTGCAGTGAGCGTGACAAGTGTGGCCAGGTACTAGTAGCTAAGAGCTGCACTAGGGCAAGCTTCAATTACCAGCTTTGCTGCTTGTTTTTAAAATTACCTCAACTCCCTGGGGTGGGATTGAGGGGAATTCTAAAACGTGATTACCCCTTCTTCCTGCCTGATTTGGGGAAACTGGGGAAAACCAAAACAGCGACGATGGCAACTCTCTGTCACCTTTGCCGTTGTTTTTGCAACACAAACGTCCTGGTGCTACAAAACGTCCTGGTAAGACTATGATACTAGACTACTAGTACTGTGTTCTCTTTTCTTGGATGATTGATCGGCAATTCAGCTGCTTCTTCACAAGATCGCTGCTTCTTCACAAGATCGATCGATCCAAGAAAAGAACAAAAGTGAGGAATGAATCGGGGCTGCAGAGGTGCATGCGCCCTTTTCGCGCGAAGCTTCACTACATGATCTAGCTAGACACAGTGACTTTCGGCGTGACAACGACGAAGCAAACTTTTGCAGCCAAGCAGAAGTTCCACACTTTTAAAAAAATTACACGAGAGGTCTTTGCTAGAGTAGTACGAAACCATGACGAATAACACCAACAAACCTTTTGCCTTTGATGCTCCCATCGACGCTGGTGGCTTGCTGGAAATCGAGGAGTATGATAGCGGTACCAGCATTCCACAGATGCGTGAAGATGGCTCTGCCCAGGATGGAGCCCACGAGATAGACTTTGTGGACCACGACGTTGAGGATCCGAGTGAGAAAATCAACGAGGAGAATAGTGGCGACGTGGAGGACGGGATCATTGGAGACACTGGCCAGAGCGGCGCAAGTGATTCCTCCGTCCTGGAGGACGATTCCTCCCTTGATTCAGCCGACGAAAGAGAGAGGGCCATCCGCGATGGGTTCCTCGGATTCTTTATTGGATACATTCAAAACGATTTTTTCCAAAAGCTCTTAGGATTCTTTGCAAAGATCCTTGACTGGGGCCTCAAGAAGATTGGGAGGGGCAGTAGCGACAATGATGGTGATGTTGGAGCTGAAGATCTTGCTGAGGAGCTGATCGATGCTGCTGATCCAGGAGTGTCAAATCTGCTATCCCAGACTCAGAACTGGACATCAATGCAATCAGTTGTTCCTGGAGGTGGCAGTGGAGGAGGAGGAGGTGGTGGTGGTGGCATGGGAGGTGGAGCGTCGGGTCCACCGCCTGGCTTAGCAGAAATGGCTACTTCTGCGGTAAGAAGACCCCAAGGAGCCAGTTATTAGTTTTCTGCTGTGCTCGCCCTCCCTTGTTCTGGCTCTAACTCCTCTTGTTCTGGCTTCAAATGTCCTCTTGTTCTGGCTCTAACTCTTCCGTGTATCCCTATCCACATGTGATGGTTTATCTTTACTGAAGTCGCAAGGTGCTGCCAGTGCGGGAGCTTCTGGAGCTGCCAGTGCAGGGGCAGCGGGAGCTGCAGCCGGAGGTACGCTGGCATCAGACAATCGAACTGACGGTATTATTGGAATAGCTACATTTCATGTTGTTGTATTCTTGATCTTTTCACAGGATTGTCTGGTGTTGCCGGAATGGCTGGAGCAGCTGCGGGCGCAGGAGCAGCAACCCAAGCTGCTGTCGCAGTGAGCGTGGGTACGTATATCAAACACCACCCTATTGTCATGATATTCCAAATACTAACGTCAAACAACTCTCTGTTAATGTTGAATCCAGCGGCAGTGGCGGCAGCAGCAGTATCCAGTGGAGCTACATCACCGACACCGGCACCTGCTCCTCCCCCTCTCCTTCCAATTGTTGATGATTTTGCGCCACCTGTATGCTCTGCCCAGTCACTGCTAAAGGTTGGCTTTCTGGAACTTCAAATCATGGGGATGCCACCGGATGTTCTATTCTATCCTCGCAAGAAACAGCTACTTGAGATTCTCTTCCGGGATATCTACAATGACATTTCTGTAAGTATGCGAATGCTGTGTTGCATTTTGGGTAAGTCTCTTTGATCTCACAGGCACCTTTTCATTGTATCAGGGAATGTGTTTGGATCAGTATTATCGTGTCTTGCATTTTGCAGAGGTCCTTGACTGGAAGACTGACTGGGGCAACTTTACCACCAACAGCACCCACAGCATATTCCTGCCAGGCTATTTTGCTGATCCAGAGGATGAGCTTATGGAGGGAGTGCTACATGCTAGCATCTTCAACAGCACAAACGGGTCTGACCTTCTCCTTGGCAATGCTACCAACAGCTCTGGACTGGCCACAAACAGCAGCGTACTTTATGCAAACTCTACCGATGGCACTGTCCTTCGTGACAACAGCTCGACTGATCCAAACTCTACCTTTAATGAAACCCATTCTGTTCCATTAGCCACACAGGCCCCTGAACAGCAACGTGACCCACTTGCAGAGTGGCTCCACAGAACAAACACCTCTATTGGAGAGTATCAAGAGTTGGTAGCCAAAAGTATTACCACAACTTCTTGGATGGCCCATGTTGGCTGTGTTGGTTGTCCAGATCACGAGCCCTTATTTGAGCTCCCAGATGGGCCTGACACCACTGCAAGAGGAAGACGAAGGGTGGCACTTTCCTGCAGCCTAACTGAGCATCACCAAGCCCATTTCCAGCGAAGATTGAACAACATCTTCGGGGGCCGCAACTTTGACATGGGAGAGTTCTTCCCGTTTTTTGCAGCATCCTTTGGATTCAACATGGACACTACGTTGAGGAGTGATGGAGAGAATGCTAATCGTAGCATTGTGGATCCCAGCAGCATTGAAGACTCTTTTCAAGCACAGGTGATTTTTGGCACTACCATGGCTGTAACCAGTGATGGAGAGATTGATTTGGAAGCAGATCCTGTGAATGCAATTGGAGGTGCCACCATTGGACTAGCCATGCAGCTTGTAGAAGCGAACAATGGGACTATCCGAACACCTTTTGTCAATGTTGAGCTTTTGGCCATTGAGGCATGTGTTGAAGAATTATCAACGGAGGACGGACAGTCTGAGTTCTGCAAGAATATCCTGGATGAAACAGGTGTGGATGTAGAGACTCTGGGGACTTGCTTGGAAAACCCAAACTCCAATGACTGCCAGGAGATCTTACCAGGTGTTATAGAATCTTCAGAGAGAGTCATGGAATCAAGACGCTCAGGGGAAGCATCCAGTGGCAATGGAGATGAGGGAAGTAGCAGTGTTGGCCCCAATGGTGATGACGGGGAAGAAGGCACCGTTAGTATCTTTGAAACGGTTGCTGAAATCCAGAAGGAGAATGAACAGAGTGCACCAAATGCTCTTGCCTTGTCTGCTGCATACTCAGAATTCCCCACTGTCACTCCTGGGAGTCCTTCTGCAGAGCCATCAACAGTGATACCTACAGTAACACCAGGCAATCCAAGTTCCGTTCCCACAACCAGGACTCCTACAGTTGTGCCTGGAAGTCCCAGCATTAGTCCCTCTACTGACGCTCCAACTGTTACTCCAGGGAGCCCATCAGCCAGCCCATCAACAGCAGCACCTACAGTTACTCCAGGCAACCCAAGATTGGCTCCAACCAGTATCAATCCTACAGTTTTGCCAGGAAGCCCCAGTACTGATCCAACCACTGGAGTTCCCAGTGTGTCCCCAGGGAGTCCATCAGGTGGCCCATCAACGGTTATACCCACAGTGACTGCAGGCAGCCCAAGCTTTCTTCCAACCAGCAGAAACCCCACAAGTACACCTGGGAATCCCAACAGTGGTCCAATTACATGGTTTCCAACAGTTACCCCAGGGAGTCCATCAGCCACTCCTGGGAGGCTACCCACAAGCCCATCAACATCAATACCAACCGTGACAGCAGGCAGCCCGAGCTCTGCTCCAACCAGTAGTTATCCTACAGTGTTGCCTGGGAACCCCACCATTAGCCCCACTACTCGTTCTCCCATGGTTACTCCAGTGAGTCCACCAGCTAGCCCATCAATGGCTACTCCTGCTGCTGCAACACAAGGATATCCAAGTTCTCCACTGACTGGCAGCAGTGCCTCTGTATTGCAAGCAAGCCCTAACAGTACTCCCAATACATTGGTTTTGGCTGAGGCTCCAGGGAATCCATCAGGCAGCACATCAACAGCTACTCCTACAGTAACACCAGGGACCCCCAGCTCTGTTCCAACCACTACATTTCCTACCGTATTGCTTGATAATCCTAACAATGGCCCAACAAACGAGTTTGCATCAGCAGCCAGCCCCTCAATAGATCCGCCTACAGTAATGCCAGGAAATCCAAGCTCTGCTCCAACCAGTTGGAGCCCTACAGTGTTGCCAGGAAGCCCCAGCAGCATTCCGACTACGTGGTCTCCAACTGTTACAACAGGGAGCCTACCAGGAAGCCCATCAACAGCTGTAACAACAGTGGCAGCAGGTAGCCCCAGCTCTGTTTCAACCAATTTGAATCCAACGACATTTCCTGGCAGCCCCAATAGCAGCCCAACAACTAAATCTCCAGCAGTGACCATAGGCAGTCCATCAGCCCTGCCACAAACAGCATTGCCCACAGTAACACCAGGAAATCCTAGCTCTGCTCCAAACAGTGAGAGGCCAACAGTGTCACCTGAAAGCTCTAGCACTAGACCAACATTAGGGGCAGCACCCCTCCCCCCTAGCCAGGCAACAATGACCCCATCCATAGAATTCAGCCAAACTAATGAACCCACTCCCTTACCAACTGATGAACCCACCCTCACACCAACTGATGAACCCACGCTCATGCCAACTGATGAACCAACACGATCTTCAACCGATGTACCCACCCAATCTCCAACTGATGAAACCACCCGATCTCCAACCGATGTACCCACCCTATCACCAAATGATGAACCCACTGTCTCAGTTGAATCAACCACTACACCCACTGTCACTCCTGTTCCCCGAGTCTCAGCCAACGACTGTTAGTCCCACGTGGACCCCACGTGACCCCAGAAGTCCCTCAATGGCAACCACACTGTCAGTCCTGGCTCTCTCCCACTGTCACTCCGGGTTCCCCGAGTCTCAGCCCAACGACTGCTAGTCCCACCAGTGGAACCCCTACCGTGACCCCAGGAAGTCCCTCAATGGCACCAACCACCGTCGGTCCCCTGGCATCTACACCACTGTCACTCCCGGTTCCCCGAGTCTCAGCCCAACGACTGCTAGTCCCACCAGTGGAACCCCAACGTGACCCCAGGAAGTCCCTCATGGCACCAACCACCGTCGTCCCTGGCATCTACACCCACTGTCACTCCGGTTCCCCGAGTCTCAGCCCAACGACTGCTATCCCACCAGTGGAACCCTCACGTGACCCCAGGAAGTCCCTCAATGGACCAACCACCGTCAGTCCCTGGCATCTACCCCACTGTCATCCGGTTCCCCAGTCTCAGCCCAACGACTGCTAGTCCCACCATGGAACCCTACCGTGCCCAGGAAGTCCTCAATGGCACCAACCACGTCAGTCCCCTGGCATCTACACCACTGTCACTCCCGGTTCCCCAGTCTCAGCCCAACGACTGCTAGTCCACCAGTGGAACCCCACCGTGACCCAGGAAGTCCCTCAATGGCACCAACCACCGTCAGTCCCCTGGCATCTACACCCACTGTCACTCCCGGTTCCCCAGTCTCAGCCCAACACTGCTAGTCCCACCAGTGAACCCCTACCGTGACCCCAGGAATCCTCAATGGCACCAACCACTGTCAGTCCCTGGCATCTACTCCCACTGTCACTCCCGGTTCCCCAGTTCAGCCCAACACTGCTAGTCCCACCAGTGGAACCTACCGTGACCCCAGGAAGTCCCTCAATGGACCAACCACGTCGTCCCTGGCTCTACCCACTGTCACCCGGTTCCGAGGTCAGCCAACGACTGCTAGTCCACCAGTGGAACCCAACGTGACCCCAGGAAGTCCTCAATGGACCAACCACTGCCGTCTGTGGCTCCCTGTCACTCCGGTTCCCAGTTCAGCCAACGACTGCTAGTCCCACCATGGAACCCTACGTACCCCAGGAAGTCCTCAATGGCACCAACCACGTCGTCCCCTGGCATCTACACCCACTGTCACTCGGTTCCCCAGTTCAGCCCAACGACTGTAGTCCCACCAGTGGAACCCCACGTGACCCCAGGAAGTCCCAATGGACCAACCACTGTCAGTCCCTGGCACTCACCACTGTCATTCCGGTTCCCCGAGTCTCAGCCCAACGACTGCTAGTCCCACCAGTGGAACCCTACCGTGACCCCAGGAAGTCCTCAATGGCACCAACCACGTCAGTCCCCTGGCATCTACACCCACTGTCACTCCCGGTTCCCGAGTCTCAGCCCAACGACTCTAGTCCACAGTGGAACCTACCGTGACCCCAGGAAGTCCCTCAATGGCACAACCACTGTCAGTCCCGTGGCTCCCACTGTCATCCGGTTCCCCGAGTCTCAGCCCAACGACTGCTAGTCCCACCAGTGGAACCCCTACCGTGACCCCAGGAAGTCCCTCAATGGCACCAACCACGTCAGTCCCCTGGCATCTACCCACTGTCACTCCCGGTTCCCCAGTCTCAGCCCAACACTGCTAGTCCCACCGTGGAACCCCTACCGTGACCCCAGGAAGTCCCTCAATGGCACCAACCACTTAGTCAGGATCCGTGGTCCACTGTCACTCCGGGTTCCCCAAGTCTCAGCCCAACGACTGCTAGTCCCACCAGTGGAACCCCTACCGTGACCCCAGGAAGTCCCTCAATGGCACCAACCACTGTCAGTCCCCTGGCATCTACACCCACTGTCACTCCCGGTTCCCCGAGTCTCAGCCCAACGGTTGAAGTGACACATGAGTCCACTCCAGAAGTAACCATCCCGCCCACATCCAGTATGACACCTTCTGAGCATAGCTCCTCACCATCAACAGTCCAAGTGCCTACTGGTTCAGATGAGCCAACCGTTGATGGGACAAATCTAGCACCCAGTGCATTGCCATCTGCATGTGATTCCACTTTGGTGTTGGTTGAATCTGTCTACACTATTGGGTTCACCGGAGACATAACCTTGGTGGGAGACTCTTCATTGACTCTAGCTTTCACCACTGCACTAAATGCTCTACACCAAGGTAGCTCTTGCTCACCTTGGGTAGAGACAATCGTTGTGTCAAGCAAGCCAGGTGCAAATGCTGCTCAGGTCAGAGCACAATCAAACCATCTTTGGGGTGGAAGAAACCTCCAAACTTCATTTGTTGGGTTCACGATGATGACAACACAAGCTGTAGGAAGGACTCTCATTGAGCCTTCTCAAGAAGCTTTGTTCCTTGAACAATATACAAGTGCCCTCAACACGGCTGAAATTATGGCCATCTCGGCAGTTCTCAAGATCTCTGTAAGGCTATCCGTCATGCCATCCAGTAGTCCCACTACAGACCTTTCATTGCAGCCTTCAAATGTGCCCTCTTTACAGCCATCCACCACCCCATCTGTTCCATTATCAACCAGTCCTTCCAACCAACCTACATCAAACCCTTCCTCAGGACCAACAGTGACACCAGGAAACCCTACGGTCAGTCCAACAAGTGCATATCCATCCAACACACCCACTGAGAGCCCTTCTGGAAATCCCTCAGCAGGATCTCTCATGCCATCAACAACACCTTCAGTTCTTCCAAGTATTGTGGAATCAAACGGCCCCACTAGCAGTCCATCCAACAACCCCACAAAAAACCCTACAACCCAACCATCACCTGTGCCAACAGTTACCCCGGGTTCTCCAACTGTCAGCCCTACAACTGCAAGCCCAACAACCCAGCCATTTGGAAGCCCATCGACAGCTCCATCAGAAGTTCCTTCAATTTTGCCCTCAATAAATCCATCCACATCACCAAGTATCACGTTATTAGCCAGCCCCAGCTTGCTTCCTTCTTATGGTCCCTCAAGAGAGCCATCATCATCCCCTTCCGCATTCCCCTCAATTACCCCAGTAAGCCCCACTATCAGCCCAACCCTATCTACTGCTACATCCCAAAGCCCATCGGAGATCCCAAGTCTAAGCCATGAACCAAGTGATAGCCCAATTTCACCAGCTTCTGATGGTCCCTCAACAGCTCCTTCGTCTACCCCTTCTTCACTCCCTACCAATACCCCAGGGAGTCCCACTACCAGCCCAAGCATTTCTAGTGTTCCATCACCTACTCCATCAGAGATCCCAAGTCTAAGCAACCCCCCAAGCAATCAGCCATCCTCAGCACCTTCGGCCATCCAATCTTCGATCCCTTCTTCCAACCCCTCAATGATGCCAACATCTCCCCCTTCCTCACTACCCACAGTAACCCCAGGGAATCCCACTACAAGTCCAACAACATCAAGCAGCCCATCCAATATGCCATCTGGGTATCCTAGCCTAAGCAATGTACCAAGCACGAGCCCATCATCACCACCTTCAGCCAACCCTTCAGATTTTCCATCAAGTGTGCCATCAGGCACCCCCAGTATCTATCCATCCAGCCAACCTTCAATCCAGCCATCCATGTTCCCCACCATCAGTTCAGATGCTCTGTCCTCAATTCCTAGCATGGATCCATCCGTCTTGCCGTCCTTGAGTCCATCAGGTAGACCATCCTCTCTCCCTAGCTTCAGCTCTGATACTCCATCTTCAAATCCTAGCACGGCTCCATCTGAAATTCCTTCCACTGGTCCATCAGGGAGTCCGTCCACACTCCCTAGCTTCAGCTCTGATGCCCCATCTTCAAATCCTAGCACGGCTCCATCTGAAATGCCTTCCACTGGTCCATCAGGGAGTCCGTCCACACTCCCTACCTTCAGCTCTGATGCCCCATCTTCAAATCCTAGCACGGCTCCCTCTGAATTCCTTCCACTGGTCCATCAGGAGTCCGTCCACACTCCCTAGCTTCAGCTCTGATGCTCCATCTTCAAATCCTAGCACGGCTCCATCTGAAATCCTTCCACTGGTCCATCAGGGAGTCCGTCCACACTCCCTAGCTTCAGCTCTGATGCTCCATTCTTCAAATCCTAGCACGGCTCCTCTGAAATGCCTTCCACTGGTCCATCAGGGAGTCCGTCCACACTCCCTAGCTTAGTTCTGATGCTCCATCTTCAATCCTAGCACGGCTCCCTCTGAAATTCCTTCCACTGGTCCATCAGGGAGTCCGTCCGCACTCCCAAGCTTCAGCTCTGATGCCCCATCTTCAAATCCTAGCACGGCTCCCTCTGAAATGCCTTCCACTGGTCCATCAGGAGTCCTCCGCACTCCCAAGCTTCAGCTCTGATGCCCCATCTTCAAATCCTAGCACGGCTCCCTCTGAAATTCCTTCCACTGGTCCATCCGGGAGTCCGTCCACATCCCCAAGCTTCAACTCTGATGCTCCATCTTCAAGACCAAGTATTGACCCTTCAAATGCACCCTCAACCACTCCCTCTGAAGCTCCATCCATCTTGCCATCACCTGCCCCATCACCAGCACCAACACCCTACGTGTTCACAAGGGCTACACTTGATCTAGCAATTGCTGCTGGTGACTTCTCTGCCTCCAGTCCCTATGGTACGTGGACAGAAGAACAGATTCCCCCCTGGTGTCGTATTTTCTGACATTTGCTGTGCTCTTATTTTCGTCAGGTGCCATTGCAACCTGGGTAAGGCCTGGATTGATTTATGCTGCAGCTTCATTTCTCATGCTTTGGTTTTTTCTGGACTGACACTTACCCACTTTGCTGATCCTTCATTCAAACGCAAAATAGGATGTCTCTGTGATAACTGATTTCAGTAGCCTGGTGTGTATGCTTCTATCATTCTGCGTTTGGTATAATGAGAGAAGTGAATGAATGCTAACCCATTGCCTCTGGCTATCCAACTACCACTATGCAGTTCCTAGGTACTACATTCAATCAAGACATTTCGGATTGGGATGTATCCTCCGGTGTAAATATGGTAATGGACCAGTTTAATGGAACTTTCTTGTATTGGGCTTAATGGCCACGCAACTAACACACTTACTTATTCAACATCTACTCTGCGATGTCCACAGTATTCAATGTTTCATTCCAGTAAGCATTTCTTTGTTGCCATCATGGATGTTTGCCCAACTGAAATAATGAAACGACTTACCCCATTGCTATTAATTGCTGTGAACCAGACTCGGCGTTCAATCAAAATATCAATGGATGGACAACAAGTTCTTTGACAAATATGCAGTACATTTTCTGGCATACCGGTAGGTCAACCTGAACTGCTCTCCAGTCTCTCGCACACAATACAGCCTAGGCAGTGTTGCTGGTACCGGTATAAGCTCAACTTCAAAGTTGTTTCTTTGAATTTCTCCATCCATCCAGGTAGTTTCAACCAGCCTCTCAGCAATTGGGATGTCAGGTAAGATTGAATTTCTCGCTTTGCTCACTTTAAAAAAAAACTCCTTTGTGTTAATTTCTTTATCATTCTGGTTTCTACAGCAAAGTAACATCATTTTTTGGGGCTTTTGAAGCCAGCAAGTTTAATCAAGACATCTCCAACTGGGTAAGTAATGACAAGAAACGGAATATCCAATGTGATCGTTGCTCTACTCTTGCTCACTGTGCCACTACGATAGAATGTTGCTGCTGGCATAGGTTTTGACTTCATGTTTTTTTCTTCACAATTCAACCAAGACCTGTGTGATTGGGGAAATGGAGCCACAGCACTTACCTCCACTAACCTGGGAAACATGTTTGCTAGTTCCGGCTGTCCAGATACAAGCAATCCAAGTTTCGCTACATCTCCAAGAGGCCCCTTTTGCTATTCATGTCCTTAAAGATGTCCCACAGGGTCATGATTTGTAGTGAATTAATCATTTCTTGGACCTCGGTCGTTGATGTTTCGGAATGATCACTAGGGACTTGTTACCAGTAGTTGGTTGGAAGTTCATTCCACATGTTCCGTATTTGCATGTATTCTTCCTTGTGTCGTTTTTGAGGAATTTGAATTATTATTGGTCATTCAATTATGAATTCCCGGTCTGATCTATGAAGCCTAAGGTTTGGATGGAGCACGACCACTGTCTGTCATGTGTGCGAATCGCATGCGTAAATCTGGTGTATTGTACCTGTACATAAATTATGCAGTGGTTGTCCTATAAGCTGCCACAGACGGTGGTTGCATTCCATCGGTAGCTGCTGCTTCTGTCGAGAAAACCCTGGATGCCTGCTGACAGTATGGCTTTACAACCACACATTTTTATCTTTGTCAAACTAAATTTTAGCAATAGATAAGCGTATCGTTATAGGGCCATACAATCCGCCTGCACCATTTACATTTAATTCTAGGATTGCTTCTAGCTAGTATGATGAAATGTTGTCTTTTGTTCAATTATCCCAAGCAGCCTCCATAACACCCCCATCGAGATGATGGAGTTGATGCAGCAATGTTCACGCCATGAGCAATGCTGCTTGTTGAACAAAAGCGGTCTATAGAGAATTGACTAAACACCATTGCAAGTGGAAAGATTGATCTCAAAACCATCTTCTTGTCTCCTTTCAAAATTATTTTTAAATATTATGGATGGATCGCAATTGCTGGAAGATTGAAAGCATTTCAGTTCCTTCCATGACTCAGAGTATCCGTGAGTAGATTGAGTCATGCTCCATGAGTCAACACGATGGGAATATCATCACGCGGAGAATGCTGATAAGAACATGTTTCCACCGAAACAAAAGAAATGGCCAACCGGAGTATTCAACAGGAACAAAGCATTCTGTTACCAAACCGTTTCACATAGAACCCACGTTGACTTCCGTATGTATCAAGATCAACTACCACGATTCATTGATCTAACACGCTGCGAAGCAGCTTTGTTGATCACATCGATCAAGGCTCACAACACAGATTATGATTTACTAAGAAGCGATCCTTGCATTTTACCTTGCACTCGTCTCGAATAGTTGCAGTTGATATCGTTGGGTGGTAGCTACCTCTCTACGAGGTATTTCCTCACGTTAGCAGATTAACTAGTACGCATCACCACGCTGACTGGAGTAGCAATTGATGCTTTCCGAGTCAGTCTCTTCCAGTCCCACACTGAGATTGTACCGTGTCAACAATGAAGAGAATTTGTGCCACGATGACCGACAATGAGCGTGCGATCGCACTATGGGATAAGAACAACAAGCCCATTCGATCAGAGTTTCGAGAGTTCTGCGATGAAGCCTCCTACATCAAATGGAAGAAGAACTTCCTCAACACGCTCAAGTCTCAAGGTCTTTCCCATCTCATCGACTCTACCTTTGCTATCACAAACAATGAGCTTGACAAGAAACAACGTCTTCATCGAGCCACAAGCACAATATATCGTCCTTGCAAACGAGGCCAGCAAGGACACCCGAGCGATCTGGAACGCAATTGACGTGTACTACTCCAAGTCCATGGTCACCACCCTATGCGGAGACCTACCTTACCTCTGTGGATCTAATTGATGGAGGATGGCATGGAACCCACACCGGTTTCTTTTGCAACTTCCTCGAGCAAGCACGGCTGTACAACGAGATCAGTGATGAACCGTACACTGGACCGCAGATAGCTCGTTTCCTGGAGCGCTCAATCTCCAAAGCACCGAATCTCGCTCCCGTACGCCGCCTCGCTCTGCAGACCAAGAAAACCACAGGGGATACCTCTGCGTACAACCTCGAAGAATATAGAGCAGCCCTTCTCGAGCAAGCCCAGCTATACAACAGTGCAAAGTCTACACGCTCTCGAAGCAATGCTCGCCGCCGTACCTACCAACATGAGATCATCTTCGACGATGGTACGGCGGACACCTGCGAGAGTGCCTACGAGGCATTCAATCACGACATGGATATCTCAGTGGATGCGTTGAACAAACATCATTAAGAAGTATTACACAGCTAGCCTACATGAGTACCATTGTCCCTACATACAACTGTTTCTCTACTAGTCATTACAAAGATGTGGCAAGAGTCTTTTGCCCACTTCTAATTAATAATAATAAGGTTTTGTCCCACAAATAGCATACCATGGGCTAGGGAATCCTTCCTGCCCAACACACTCCTGCAGCATTGCAAGCCACTGGTACTCATAAGGCTGGACAGTTGTTGCGTTAACTCTCTCCATTCAACCGATTACATGTTCCCCAATTCCCATAGAACCTCTACAGGATCATCGCTCATTCATTCGATTTGTTGCATAATGATCTCACAAAGTTTGTTGTTGTTCGTTAATTCGTTATTGCTATGCCCACAACCCGACAAGCAAATCAATTCATTTGGTCAATCGGTGACACTGTGAGCAAACTGCCTAGCTCACGGTCACTCCTGTAAATTGTAGATACTTCTTCATTCACTCGTATTCACTGCACAGGCTCTTTTGTGGTCTCCGACTTGCTGTTGGATTCGACTCCTGTTGTTCACACTGTTCGAGCCACTCCTATGCTTCTAACACACTATCGTGTCAATCCTCGTACTGATGAAATGGTATATATACCAGAAAAATTGCCTCCACCTGTACCGAGCAAGAAACACATTTTTAGAAGATTCATAGGATTAACAGTCCACCTCTACCTGTGCTTCCCCTCGGTCACCACAGTAGAGCAAGGTCTCAAGGCCTGTAGTTCGATACCCGGTACAGTATCTCGCTTCCACCTCGAGGAAACACACATGTCAGCACATAGAAAGCTCCTAGTAAGTATGCACTAGCCGTAGCCTATAAGTACTCTCATGCATTCTACAAGTCTGCACGACCGGATCCTGCAGGGCTAGAGAGGCACGACACTTAACACGCAACATCCTAATCGTTCCGGGGGAGTTAAGGTCTTCACTTCCCCGTGCCTCGTACCACAAACTCATTAAGACTTGGGGGGAGAAGTTCACCTCCAGCGTTTGGTGAGATCGGCAAGTCTCACTCGTAAATAAGTAATGACGTCCACTAGCAACTACACAAAGACTATGGGGGAGTTCACCGTGAAAAACTCCCCATTCGTGACTTAGTCCAGGCAAGGTTACACTAGTGCACGACGTCTAAGTCCTTCAGAAAGACTTCGTTACTCGTACTCGACAGTCAGTTCCCCGAAGAACACGACGTACTATCTCCTACCAGTACCGTGTGCATCACCCGTACCGTTAATATCGCTCGTAATTCCCTGGAAGCACTAGCTTCGTCCTATTATAGAAATACAGTAGGATTGCTGAATAAGCGACTAGTCAGTTTGCACGACCAATGCGAACACTTCCTACCCTCAGGAGTTCTTCGAGGTTCCTGGGGAAGCGAGTCAGTGAGAATGGAGAACACGTACCTACACTGACGTCAGTAGCTATCTACTGACGTACGAGAACGAGAAGATCCTTCCATGACACTCGAAGGCTAGCGCATGATTACAGGCAGCGCTAAAGCGAAAGAAATTACCTGCAACCACACCAGTACCGTGGAATTAGTGCTGGGTGTCTCCATCTGCTCGAACTCGAGATTCACCACGATCTCGAGAACCTGCAGAGTTGTTCGGCAATGGGGGAGTGATGAAATGGTATATATACCAGAAAAATTGCCTCCACCTGTACCGAGCAAGAAACACATTTTTAGAAGATTCATAGCGTATGGTACCGCCGTACGCTCGACACATTTTTTCTTCATGTCCCTCACGACAGGCGCCCCTTGTGCTGACGCTGTTCTTCGTATATTCGCTCGCACATGTGTCCTGTTCTTTTCGAACGCTTTCTTCCTCCATAGGCACCAGTCGCTGCTGTTTCCAGCCACTGACTGTCCTGCAGATCGCCTCACAAAATCGCTGTAATCCACACCGCATTTCCTGCATTTACGTCGTACAAACTTGAATTCCTCGTAATTCACTCCTATCTTCCGACAGCTGAATCTCTTCGAGTTCTCCGCTTGTTGCTATAGAGAGCTCTTCACTTGCACTTTCCAACTACGTTGTCGCTTGTAGGCCTACCACTCGTTCATAGAGTCGGCTGTCGTCGATCTTCTCGCCAGCGTACTGCAATACACGGCATTTAGCTTTATTCGCGACTCGATCCTAGATAGGGTTTGGGTTCGACTCAAGACTGGATCTTTCGCGAATCGTCATTAAGACAGGGTTCTAAATGACCGCTAGTCATATTAGGTTGATGATGCTGAAACATCGCTCTAGATATTTAACTGGTGTGGAGAGCTTCCACGCTACAAGATAGTTACTAGCTGAAGTTTCCACACATTCCGGAATTGGGATCGTGGAGTACATGTAAATTCCCTGCTACAATCTACGATATCACACTTCCGGGCCTCCCGCGGGAGACTTGCTCAATGAGCTTCAGGACGAAGCTCTCTCTCTCTCTCTCTCTCTCTCTGACTAGTTTTCGTAGCTTTCTAAACTCTCTCATAACTTTCATACACTCAAACTCAAAACACTCGAAAGATCTTTACACTAGCTTTTAGCGTAGTGCATTTTGTTTAACAAACACAATAGCTTTCAGCTACCTTGAACATATTCGTCACCATGAAGATTGCCAAGAGCGCTTTCACCAACTTCTGGAGACAGTGGCGTGACAAGCTTATCCTTCCTCTCATTGACGACAAAGACGGAACCGAGATCGACGACTCTCGTTCTGCCTCCTACAAATTGCGCACTGTCCTAACCAATGCTGACAGTGCCAAGTAAACCTTCAAGGTTGCCATCATCGATAGCACCGTCACTCCTCAATAAGCCATCAAGTGGGCTGTGCGTATGGAAAAGGTCTTCACCGGACTCAACCTTACCAGTGCTGAGAAGAATATTCTTCTCAAGGAGATGACTACTGGCTCTGCCAAGAGTGCCTACAAAACTGCTTATTGTGAAGGCAGTTGTCCCATTCGTCACAACGCGATCAGACAGGCTGCAGTCCACAACGAGCCAGCTCGTGACCACCTACCTGAACAACAAAGAAACCACAGAACAGCATCAAGCTCACTTGCAGAATGCTTGGAACACCACAGCCGAGCCTGCTTTGGACGATGCCGATATCATGATGGGCATGAACGCCGTCATTGAACAAGCCTGTCCTTACAAGTCTCTTGAAAAGCAGAAGCATTTCAGCGTCGTAAGATGCGCAAACCTGCTGACATGTTGACTCGTTCCTATGTCAAAAACCTCACTTGCATGAACAGCGAAGAACTCCCTCGTTTGCCACCCTTCAAGGCAAATCAGCAGCTGAACCACGATGAAATCGTGGACATTGTCTGGTCCTGGATGGGCAAGATGGACGAACACGACTTCGATCCTTTCACTGCCAACCTATCGAATTTCATCGGATTCTGCAAACGCATGGAGTCCTCTGAAGACTTCGAAAAGGGCACCGAAGCCAAAACTGCTACGAAGAAGAGCAGTAAGAAGTTCAAGTCTAACCACAACAACCCTGTTGATGTGGACCAATGCCCCCCTAACCCTTCTCAGTCCCAGCGTGGCATTCCCACATCTGTCCCACTACTAGAGTGAGCGCCAGCCTGCCTTGAGGCCACCTGGCTCTCAATGGCAGTTTGCAGCTGTAGATCCAGCACTCCCTAGCCTGCTGGCTTTCGCAGGCCTGGGACAACCAGCTAGTATTTCCAGCTCATAATTGTTAATAACAAACCTTTAGTAACAACTCTTTACTGGGCTCCTGCCTGGATCAACAGTTATTAACAATCCTTTTAACAACACGACGAACTACCGGTAACAAACCGATAGCAATAGCCAAAGCACTCGCTCCGAGCTACTGTCAACACCCTCACCATGACGTCCTTCACCGCGATGGACTACTTCTCTCACGAGACACTCACCCCCATCCCAACCAATGAAAAGCCCTCTTTCACCAGCCTCAAGATTATCCACCAAAAACTCAATGCAAACGCAATGGCAGTCTAATCGATGCTTGGAGGAGGCAACTTCGGACACCTAGCTCTCACCATTCCAGCAGCAACCTTCACTGCACGGCCACAGCAGTCGCATGGGTCACACCAGAACACCCTGGAGCACACCTGGTGCATGGCGCCAATGCCACTGCTGCCCAAATCACTGAGATCAACCGCCTCTTCAACGAAAACCTCGAACGATTCCACATCTGCAAGGCAACAGGCACAGCCCTCAAGAAGCAACTCCTGGAAGCAGTTCCAGCCACCTTCACGCTCACCCTCAAGAACGATCTCTTTGGCTATGCCAATGTCACCGTCCTCGAAATTCTTTACCACCTCGACACCCAATACGGGAAGGTAGATCAAGAAGACCTCAAAGAAGATTTCGAACGAATGGGAGCTGCATGGAGTCCAACCCAACCAATTGAAGACCTTTTCAATCAAATCAAAGCAGCCCAACTCTATGCTGCCGCATACGATCCCATCACCAACAAGACAGCCATCCGTGCTGCCACAACCAATCTTGCCAACAGCGAAGTCTTCACTGAAGCCCTCCGCGAATGGAAAACAAAGATGAAGCCGATCACACCATGGCAAGACTTGAACTTCACTTCAAGACGGCCGACAAGAAACGTCGCCAACTCCTCACCGCATCCCAAGTTGGATATGCAAACGGAGCCATCACGAAGGAAAAATCTAACAACAATGGCAATACAATCCCGATGTGGTATTGTTACTGGGCCCCAATATGACTCACACCGGCATGAACTGCACCAAACCAGTCACCGGACACCAAAAGGAAGCAACCGCTGACAACATGATGGGCGGATGCTGCGTCATCAAACGTCGCAATGGAGAAAGAGCGATCTATCGCCGTCCCCCCCCCTCGCAACCCACGCAACAACGATGAAAACACGCCCCCTGCTGACAATCAAGCCACAGGAGGACGTTGAAAAGGCCGGGAGCCATCATTTGAAAAACCAAAACATTCATCTAGCAAAATAGTTGATAAAACAACTACTATAGACAAACATGTTAATCAACAACCAAACGACGGTCCCCCGACACACAAACCAATAGTAGTCGACACTGGCAGCACTGGTCACTTTGTTTCTACTGACTTCATAGCTATAAATAATGAGCAGATAGTCAACATCCAAAGCGACCCAAACCCCATAACAGTTACACTCCCTCTCTGTCATCCACTCAACACATACATGTCATCTCGACCTCCCAAATCTGCCCAAGAGCGCAACACTAGCACATCTATTCCCGACGCTCGGCAACACCTCTCTCCTCTCCATTGGCAAGCTTTGTGACGCTGGCTGTGAGGCAATCTTCCGCTCCAACGAGTGCATTATCTCCTTTATGGGCGACACCATTCTCACAGGATATCGCAATCCTAGCACCAACCTCCTATGAGAAATCAATCTCCAACAACCAAAACAACAAGCCAATCTAATGGCCACAGCATCGTCAACAACCACACCAGATCTAGTTGCATTTGCACACGCAGCACTGTTCTCACCCGTCATCTCGACGTTGCGAGAAGCCCTGAAACGACGTTACATCATCAATATGCCAGGCCTAACTCTCGAGACACTCAACAAACACCCACCAAACTCCGTGGCAACTGCAAAAGGACACCTAAACCAACAGCGACAGGGAATTCAATCAACAAAGACAGATTCCGAACCATTGCCCCTGCTCACAGAGATTCTAGACGATCACGACACATACCCAGAACAAACAACAACCAATGACGCAATCGCGGAAGCCTGTTTTGCCTCGGTGATTCAACCAACAGGAAAATCGTTTTCCGATTAAACAGGACGCTTCTTCATTCCATCCAGCAGTGGCAACAACTACTTGTTCATCCTCTACCACTATGACAGCAACTCCATCCACGCAGAACCAATGCCAAATCGATCAGCAAAGTCTCACCTCAAAGCTTGGACGACAGTATACAACAAGCTTGTACGTGCCAACCTATGCCCTAAGCTCCACATACTCGACAATGAATGCTCCACCTTACTCAAGGAACACATCGACGCCCAAGGAATCCAACTCCAGACAACTCCTGCAGGCATCCACCGACAAAATGCAGCAGAAAGAGCCATCCAGACCTAAAATAACCACTTGATAGCTGGCTTGTGCTCCACCGATAAAAAGTCCCCTCTACACTTGTGGGACAAGCTTATACCACAATGCACCATCACATTAAGCCTACTTCGCGGATCGCGAATCAATCCATCCCTGTCCGCGTATGTGCAAGTCTGCCGACAATTTGACTTCACAGCCACCCCCATTGCCCCTCTGGGAATACATGTCATTGTACACGAAAAGCCCCACCAACGTGCATCTTGGGCACCGAAAGGCAAAGATGGATGGTACATAGGACCGGAACTGGATGCTTAAAAAAATAATGAAGTTTTAATATTTAGGCTGCACCTCAATAGACCACCCGCTGAACGGAGCCATGTTGAACCGGAGTACCTCAGACGTACAAGGACGCCCACATAGGAACCGGCCTAGTGCAAGCCCCCCACCAGAGAAGTTTAAAAACTCCGAAGGGTGCTTTGCAACTATCTAACTACCCCTGGCTGTATTGCCAGATGCTTCAAGACATGGATTTGGGACACACACAAGGAACGCAGAGCCGACACGGCACCCTCCCATGGTTTCCAGAGCACCTGAAAATGCCCTTACCAACACCCATTGACGTTGCTATCGCAGGCTTCCAAGCAATCGCCAAAGCATTCACGCTACCCACCACCAATCCACGTAGCCAAACCATGACCGAAGACGAAGCCACGACACTCTTGGACTTGGTACATATGTTTGACAAGAGATTACACGACAATTTGCAACCGGAATTGGCCAAGAGCCTACCAGAACCACCACCAATCGCGAAAGAACCAACGACTGCCAAAGTTCTGAGGGTGGGGGAGCAAGTTACTCCACCCACGTACCAAACGCAAACGAAACACACCAGCAGAACAACCAAGCAAACCAACGCGAAACAGAACCAACAACCATTCGCAACCACACGTCGTTCCAATCGGATTGCACGACGGAATCACCAGTCACATTTTACGCAAATCGACCGTCTACTGATGGATCCGAACGGAGAACAAAATTTGGCCAATAAGGCACTCAACCCGGACACCAAAATCCTCGCTGACTACAAGGTATTACGAGACTCTAGCGATGGCAAACACTGGATCAACTCGTGCTGTGATGAAATCGCACGTTTAGCCCAAGGCCGCGCATCCACCGGCACACCTGGCACTGATACCATCACCTTCATTAAATACTCTGATTTACCTGTCGGACGCAAAGCCACTTACCTCCGAGTCGTCTGTGACGACCGCCCACAAAAGAAGGAAACACGACGGGTCCGCTTTACAGTAGGAGGAGATCGAATCGAGTACCCCTTCGATGTCAGCACCAAAACAGCTTCCCTCACTACGGTCAAACTACTACTCAACAGCGTATTGTCCACCGAAGGGGCCAAGTTTATGACACTAGACATCAAGGATTTCTACTTAAACACTCCCATGTCACAGCCTGAATACATGCGCATCCCTGTCGACATCACCCCAGACGAGATTATGGTTGGAACAGTACAACCTACACCCACTGGTACACAATGGATACGTCCTAGCTGAAATCAACCGTGGAATGTATGGACTCCCACAGGCTGGACGCATTGCCAACGACGCACTAGTCACATTCCTGAACCAACACGGGTACCACCAATCCAAACACACCCATGGGCTCTTCACTCACAAAACCCGGCCAATTGCGTTCTCCTTAGTCGTCGACGACTTCGGAGTACAGTATGTAGGCACCGAACATGCCCATCACCTCATAGACAGATTGGCATCAGCCTACAAGATCACCATCGACTGGGAAGGCGAACTCTATTGTGACATCACCTTGGATTGGGACTACATCAACACAACCGTAGATCTATCCATGCCTGGTTACATCGATCAAGCTCTCCAACGATTCAAGCACCCAGCACTCGCACGTCCAGAACATTCTCCATTCCAATGGAACGTCCCCCAGTATGGACAACCAACTCAATACACCGAGCCAGAAGTCAACACAGCTCCCTTAACCGACAGTGGCATCAAACACATCCAATAAGTTGTCGGTGTCTTCCTCTACTATGCCAGAGCAGTTGATCACACAATGCTCATGGCCCTTGGAGATATAGCAGCTGTGCAAACGAAAGGCAGAGAAAACAATTGCACTACGCTAAAAGCTAGTGTAAAGATTTTTCGAGTGTTTTGAGTTTGAGAGAATGAAAGTTATGAGAGAGATTAGAAAGCTACGAAAACTAATCCATGAGAGAGATCGTTGTGAAGCTCATTGAAGTTGGTCTCCCGCAGGAGGCCTCGAAGTGTGATATCGTAGGTTATGGCAATAACTCTACGTACTCCACGGTCCATTTCCGGAACACGTGGAAACTTCAGCTAGTAGCTGTCTAGTAGCGTGGAAGCTTTCCACGCCGGCTAAATATCTAGAGCGATGTTTCATCGACAACCTAGTATGACTAGCAGTCATGAGAACCCTGTCTCAATGACTATTCGCGAAGGACTACGTCATGAGTCGAACTCAAACCCTATCTAGGATCGAGTCGCGAATAAGGTCAAGAGCCGTGTATTGCATTCGCCCCCTGACAAGGGTCACAGAAGGCACGACATCAGTCGGACAAGGAGAACATATGAATTAAAGTGCGGGGCACTCTCCGGAGATTGGATGTAGACATGTGCGTCGCACGATGGCAATCCTACAAGGGGATCAGGCCTTGTATGGGTGTAAATACCTTATGTTCCAAGTCTGGTAGACAGTGCCGCTATTGGCGGTAGCATGTCGGAGCCGTACGGTGCCATTGTTATTGACTCGCTCTTTATTGTAAGGACCTTCGTACCTTGGCTGACCGTACTTGCGGTGCTGATACTGTTGAAACCTCACGGTATCGTTGACATTGTATTGATGAGGGACACGCGTCGCGTTTCCCTTCTCATTGTTTTTCTGGATGAGTCGTTGGCGACGTTCTTTGATGTGTTTCCAGTTTACTTCGAAACGGATGTTGTGAATCGCGTCACGATTGAACACGTGTGGTGATGAACTTGCGACGAAGTCCATATGCATCCCGGAGAGTCTTCTCGACTTCTGCGCGGAATTCACGTTCTCTATCCATGATAACCTCAGCAGGCCATGGATACTGGGTGAGCCACGTCTGTTCTAGAACGATGGCTACTTCGTCTGCTGCATTGGAGCAGATCTCGGCAATCTCGAACCATTCGGTTACGGGATCAGTCATTGTCACGCAATGAAATGGACAGGGATTCCTTTTCTTGGGATCCTCGACGTCATATGTACATGTGATCTTCTGATCCGTATGTCTCGATAGTAGTTCACTAGTCCAATGAATCTACCAGGTTTCTTCCTGTTCGTAGGAGGAGTGCAATACACGGCTCTTAGCCTTATTCGCGACTCGATCCTAGATAGGGTTTGAGTTCGACTCATGACTGAGTCTCTCGTGAATAGTCATTTGAGACAGGGTTCTCAATGACGCGCTAGTCATACTAGGTTGATGATGAACATCGCTCTAGATATTTAGCCAGCGTGGAGTACTTCCACGCTACTAGATCCAGGCTAGACAAACCTTCCACCGTTCCGTTTTAGGATCGTGAGAGACGTAGGATTACTACACAACCTACTCTATCACACTTTATAGTCCCCGCGGGAAGCCAGATCTACGATCCTTGATGATGATCTCTCGCGTGATTAGTTTT